GAATCTCAGTGAAAATGTGGTTTTGTCCTGTGTTTGGGCAGTTAACATGGCAATAGGCTCATTTTATAATTGGTGGACTTGGTAACAGCTGTACTGACACCATAACACTGATTCTCCATATATACCCTCTTGAACTGTACATTTGAGTCTAGAGAAGGGGTTAGCAAAGGTTTCAAATGAGAAGTTATCATCTGGATATTTGAGCGAGACTGCTCTCCCAGGATGGTGGTGAAGCAGGGATCCTAATGCAGCTCTTGTACTATAAGAGTTTGGAGGACCCATTCCTCAAGAAGACTTGGTTGACTTTCTCTCCATGCCACTCAATAGCTTTGTGTACCACTGGGAATTAAAGAAATACTATACGCTACTAAAGATCATTATGGGCTGGTTGTGGTGGTTCATGCCTGTAATCCCAGCACTTTGAGAGGCCGAGGCAGGCAGATCACGAGGTCAGGAGATCGGGAACATCCTGACTAACACGGTGAAACCCCATCTCTACTAAAAATACAAAACCATTAGCCGGGCATGGTGGCGGGCACCCGTAGTCCCAGCTACTCGGGAGGCTGAGGCAGGAGAACCGCGTGAACCCAGGAGGTGGAGCTTACAGTGAGCCAAGATTGCGCCACTGCACTCCAGCCTGGGCGACAGAGCAAGACTCCATCTCAAACAAACAAGCAAACAAAAAATCATGATGAATCTGTAATAAAGCTCATGAACTAGAAAAGTGAAGAGACACCTTTTTCATGTGACATCATCCCTTGGTACTGATATCACACCCGGTTGCCGAGAGGATTGGAATACACTAAGAGACTTCAAATTAGTGTTAGAGTTTTAGTTAGGGTTGGGGTTATTTTTAAAATGAAGGAATTCTAACAATACATTGAGGATTTGGGGTGGAGCACAGGGTTTTTTGTTTGTTTGTTTGTTTGTTTTTTTAAATCTGTATCTTTCACTTTATCATGCAAACCTTTTTCATGTTGTTTCCTTTATAGAACTCTAGTATCATGTAATTAGTTTGAAGGGAGGGCAAAGACACAAGAAGGTTTATTTTTCCTCCCCATGTTACTTAGTTCACATTGGAAACAAAGCCTCTCTAAATAGCCCCCTCAAGGACAGCCTACAGCAATTAACATGTGTCCACATTGGGCCCCTCTTCTTAAGAAAAAAGTTATTTCTATATTGCCACCAAACTAGATGCTTTTTAAAGAATCTATTCTAGTCTCATTTTTTTTCATCAGGGTAAAAACAGACGTCTTTAGTATTTTTTACTGGTTTTGTATTAGTGTTCATGAAGAAAAGTCACTTTGCTTATCTGCAGAATTTAAGTTATTAGGTTTTTATGTGTCATCTTAAGCACAAAATTGGGGCCATCATTACTTTTCATAGAAAAATTAAGAGAGACTAAATGACGAAAGAGTCTTCCATGAGGAATAAGTACTATTGTCAATAGACGAAACAGAGCTCCTGCCACCACAGATGAAGACCCTTTATCAGCTCATAACTGGACTTGAAAAACTAGGGAACATCCAGCTCAGCCATCTCAGAGTACATGCAAGAGGGATGGCCTCTGGTGGACGATGCTTTCTTCAATGTTAAACCACTGTCTTAATGCATGGCTGTTTCCCTCTCGAATGCAGATTCCTTCAGGATATTATCTGCAAACCATGAATTCCAACCTGAGTTTAGATGGATTTCTTCTGCCGATTGCAGTAATGAATGCCATCAGCATCCTACCACTACTAATTCTGTCTCCTTTTCTGGAGTATTTCAGCACCTGCCTGTTTCCCTCTAAGAGAGTTGGATCATTTCTGTCAACATGCATCAGTAAGTACAACTTAACCATTTCATGTGAATCGTTTGAAACTTTTTAAAACAACATTCTGCTAAGATCCGAACTAGCTATATGCTCCTGAGTAGTGTCAGATTTTGACAAATTGGAAAAAAGGTGAATTTGTGACTGATAACATCCATTTTCCCAAATCTCTAGCCAGACATGTGTCCCATCTTCTTCCCATCCTTTTATGTTTATGTCTCCTCAGAAGACACACCTGATATAAAGAGATGGTGAAATTTCCAGCACTGCCAAATGACCAATCCTTAAAGTCAGGCAGTCCTTACCCCTTAAGTCTATGTCAAATATGTTCTTAAAAATAAACACAGTTAATGAATTTCAAAAGATCATTTTAATTTCTGAATCAGTAAGAAAACTGATTAAGGATTAGTATTGTGAGTTACAGCTTCGATACAGTACTTTATCAAATAGTAAGTAGTATAGAAATAATGCTTTTTAATCATTTTTTAAAGTGAAACAATTTAGGATATCATTCTCAGAACATAATCAATAGGCCATAAAATAAAATGTATCTGATTGAAATGGCAGAGAAGCATGGAAGTCCATTCTGCTCATACTGTCCTCTGCCTGTCTTCCTTCGACGGCATCAGGGAACAAGAGAACAGTGAAGATGCAGTAAAACAAGTTGCAATCTAAGAATCAGAGAACTCTGCCATTGAACTGCTCCTGGTGACTTTGACAAAGCCACCGAAACTTTCTTGTTTTAGTTTGCTTATTTTTTTCATTGAGGGACATACCCTAGATAAATTTTGGATCGTTTTGTTCTGTAAAACTTTTGACATCACTCAGGATGACATCAGTGCCCAGAACATAGTCCAGACACATAGCAAAAGCTCTATAAATGTTAGCTATTATTATGAGTCATCATGTGCAGGGGACACATTTAATTGTTTAGTGAGCATAAACAGAAAGCAAAGGAAGTTTGAAATTCTTAAGTAATATCCTGCAATGGTAACCTAATGTCTTATCCTCTACTTGAGAAACAATTCTATTGAAATAGTCAAGGTCAGATTCTCTTCTCTCAGTTAACCTGTTCTTGTTCTTAAGCTCTTCTTTTGAAATAATCTGCGGAGACTATGCAGTCTTCTAGTCACAGATAGTTCTTGTTGCTTCTCCGTTTACAGAAGTTACATTTCACTGTGTGTGTTTCCTGTTCTTTTATTTTTATTTTTTATTCTTTTTTTGAGACGGAGTCTTGCTCTGTCGCCCAGGCTGGAGTGCAGTGGCCGGATCTCAGCTCACTGCAAGCTCCACCTCCCGGGTTCATGCCATTCTCCTGCCTCAGCCTCCCGAGTAGCTGGGACTACAGGCGCCCGCCACCTCGCCCGGCTAGTTTTTTTGTATTTTTTAGTAGAGACGGGGTTTCACTGTGTTAGCCAGGATGGTCTCGATCTCCTGACCTCGTGATCCGCCCGTCTCGGCCTCCCAAAGTGCTGGGATTACAGGCTTGAGCCACCGCGCCCGGCCGTTTCCTGTTCTTTATCTACCAGATCAATCAACATCACATCATGAAGTGGGTTTATTTTTAGTTAGAACTAAAAGTGACTAAACTCACCTTAGTTTCTTTCATCATCTTCAATTATAGAGGAGGACTTTAGTACATAACCTTTTGTGATGTATTTCTTAAGCCAGTAACCCCATCTTTATTTATTGTAATAGGCTTTAGCTAACTATAAATCTTTAGGTTTTGACAATCCTTAAGTCTTAAAAAGTGCTTTTCTGTCTGCCAATGTAGAAATCCAAAAGTCACCACATATTTGGTGAATGTCCAGGATTAGCATGGGTACAATGAAGATAAAAAAGGAAAAGTAAGACATGGTTTGTATACACTTTCAACAAGTCCATGATTGAAACGTAATGCATGCAGGACAAAATAAGAGTAAAATCATACTGTGAAGTGCCAAAAATCTCAGCAGTTTTGTACAGTATCATGAAACATCCCAATCTGAGTTTCCAAATCATGCTTAATTACTATTTTAAAATTTTGAATACCTTAGAAAAATATTCTATACAGCATGGCTAAAAGAAATTCTTCCTGAGAATGAGAAATCTTAAATTCACTTTAAAGTTAAGCAACTTTCTTTTGGACAGTTCTCTACTCCCACGTATTTGAAATCATATCTATTCCTAAAGAAGAGTATTTTTTTCTGGATTTAGAAAAGTTAGAGAGTTATTTAGTACATTGTTTGATGTTGTTAATGAATTAAATATTCCACTTCAAGACTGGTAACAAGACCTATTGCACAGGAAAAAGGAAAAACTAGACCCACTTCAAAAGAAACTAAGCTATGTTCCACTGGGTACAGAATTCTGACTTCAGTTGTTTCTGAACCCCACTCCATTCATTCATTCATTTGCATACTTGTATGTTTATTTGCATAATGTTTTGCTATGGGAATATAAAAGTGCGATGATATGCATCTTTTAAACTAGATATTTGCTTAAGTTTTCCATATTCTGGTTATGATTATGAAAGATTAACAAGTTTTATCAGGACATAAAAGTACCAATCTGGGGTACTTTTTTGATACTAATTTACATAATTGAATTAGTCTAATATTAAAGTTACCTTTCACTTTGAACTCAAATGCCTGAAAATGTGGGTGAAGTATATAAGTATATGAATTACGAATGAACATATATTTATAAGTTCCTAATTTGAATTCAGGTACCTTCATATATATATTACATTCAATCTCATGATAAACCACCATTTAATAGATCAGAGTCACAAAGATAGTGTCATTTGAACAGGTTTTCTAATTTTAAGGGCATAACTTTATTTTTATTATTATTATTATTACTATTACTATTCTGCTTAGCAGCTAAACGTAGCTGTTAGATTACAGAAGTTAATGTACTGATATTAGCTTGGCATCCTTACTGATATTTCCAATTAGCACTATGAAGTAACCGAAAAACTCCTTTTGTCATCACAAGGGGCAGTTACTCCTTATACTCTCACACTCGCTTCCACATTCAGGCATTCTCCTTCCAGGGACTGTCATGTTTAAGGAGGCAGATGGTAAAGTCAATGACAATGCCTAATGTTTGACATGCAAAATCACAGCCCAAACCAAGAGTGAGAGGTGGGGAAATCTTACCCAGCTGGTCAAACTAGAAATTTATAAAGAAAAAATAAACTTACTTTTTTATCTAGCTCATAAGCAATGCAATGACAAAGGTGTTTCCGATTCAAGATACAACATTCCTGAGTTCATCACCTATGGAGGTCAAGAAGTATGTTGGGGTCTCCAACTATTTAAAAAAAAAAAAAAATCTCTAGGTCTCCCAAGACCGTGACAGGCAGAGACTTCATAGGCTCACAGTGTTTTATTCATGGCTGCATTTTCTAATATTACACTTGTGTGGATTTATCTATTTAAGTCAACCTTAATTCACTAAAAATCCAGAACTAATGATATTGTTGTAATTTATCCTGTCATAATTGGGTTTACTTCATTTTATCTTTTTTTTAGTTCAAAAATGTTTACACTATGAGTATTTCCTTTCCTTAGCATTAATTAAAATCCTGCAATATGGAGCATTCAGTAGTTAGTGCTGACACACACAAGTATTAATCTGACTAAAATTAGCCTAATTAAGATTGTTATTAAGGCTTACACAAAGCAGAAGTGTACAACACAGTAGGCAGCAATTATCTTGGCTTTTAAATAACATTTAAATTGAAATGTAGATGAAATATATTCACATAACTGCAATACCTTTTTCCTTAAAATAAAAACATGAAAATTCAAGTTCCAGCTAAAAGTCTTTTATGATAGACACAGTCAGTGTAGGTCCCAGTAACTTCAACTAGTTCTAATAATTGGCAGTCGTATAAAGTTCTTTTTGTGGTTGAAACCAAAGTGGTTGCTAAGCTAAAAACCAAGTCAGGGATCCAGTTGTTTTCATTGCAAGTTCAATTATCTCAGGGAAAATTATTTTTTGATATAGCTTTCAAACTGATACATTTTCCCAAGAAACATCACGGTATGTACCCATTGTAAAATACTTGATAGGAGGAACTGTGTAAACACCAAAAGAAGTAAACCATGAATTGTAAACATCTAGCCTGAATAAGTCATTCATTCGGTTGTACATTTGTTTGATATAGACATGTTAGTGTTCTCAATTCTTAAATGTAACATCAAGTTGGAATTAAATCAGAGGTGAAGTAGATCATCTAATATGTAATCTGAAGCAAACTGATGTCTTATAGCGATACATTTGTGTATTTTATCTCTGTGTAAATGATTACCTGTTCTACATTCAGAAATAAAACATAAACGGAAGCTGGGTCTTCTGAAATGAATTCCAATGGTCTACAGAGAAACAAAAGATAGAAGGTCATATATATATATATGAACATGTCATGTTTTATGTATATATTATATTTAAAAACATGCCACAAATAGGGGAAAACAATAAAAGTAAAAAACACATGCCACCCTAAAAAGTGAGTGACAAATATCTTCCCCAAAGGCAGCAGATACATAAGACAATAAAATTATAGCTGACTTTATGAGAGTAGTTCATGAACACTGATTGATATATTAACACTGAGCAAATTTCTCATTCTGGGAATTTGCCAAAATCATGGATCCAAGGGGAATTTCTCAAGGACTCAATAGAATTTCATACTTAAGGTTGTGAGCTTACATATCAGAAACTCAAACATCACACTATCCATAGAAACCCATAGTTTTCCCAGTGAATAAATTTATACCTAAAGAATCTTATACCAATAACTAAAGAATCTTAATATGCCCACTTTTTTAGTATGAAGTTCAGCTTCATTATGAAATCACAAGTGCAACCCTAATGTTTGAATAAATTCTGAATGTCTTTTATTTCATTGTAGACTAATTTGGAAAATTATTACATGGTTCAATAATAGCATAAATTATAAGAGCTTCAAGACTCTTGTGGACTTGTCTGCAACCACACAGGCAATATTGAAACACACATTATATATCTGAATATAATATCTCCTATGCAACCATTGTGCTTTATCTTGTAAGTACAGATCTGCTAGAGGTTTAAAATGTGTGCATTCTGATAAACTGCACTCTGCTTTGGGTGTGTTATTATCTCATACGAGTTATGAATTTAAAATGGAGTGGATTAAAATTAGGTTGGAATCAAACTTTGCTTTAAATTTTAAGAAAGTTAGTTTTTATTGGCACCAGAGTCCAGTAGCAAATAAAAAGCAAACATAGATCCTTAAATATCCTAAAATATGCTTTGCGCTAAAATACCTAGGTAACTGAGTGCTACGGTTTGAATGTGTTTGTTCCCTCCAAAATTCATGTTGAAATTTATCCCCAGTACAACAGTATTGGGAGGTGTTGGTTTTGGGAGGTGAGTGAGTCATCAGTGCTCCACTCTCATAAATGGGATTAGGTGCTCTTATAAAAGGGTTTGATAGAGTTCATTCCATTTGCTCTTCTACCTTCTGCCATGGGGAAGGTGCCATCTCGGAAGCAGAAAGCAGCACCCCCCAGACAGCCAAGCCTACCAGCACCTTGTCAAATTTTCCAGCTTTTAGAACTGTGAGAAAAGAAATTTCTGTTCTTTATAAATTACTCAGTCTCAGACTTTTTTTTGAATAACAGCACAAGCAAACTAAGACAATAAACTCAATATGTGTGCTTTGCTTGAAATTTTCTGGAGAACTGTCTTTCACTGGAGTTTGCTAGATCAGGCCCGATAGTGTTATATGCTTGAGCAGTGCTTCTCGTAGTTTAATTTGTGTAAGAATCATCTAGAGACCTAGTTTAAAATGCAGATTCTGAGTCAGTGGTTCTGGAGAGAGCCTGAGATTCTCCATGTCTAACAAGCTCCCAGGTGATACCTACACTACTGGTCAAGGAGGACACTTTCAGTATCAAAGACAAAGAAAGTGGCCAAAAGACTGCTCTCTCAAGTTTCATACATGTGTATAGGCAGCAGTGGCCCAGATAAAATGCCACAATTTCTCACTAGGCCAGAATGAAAGTTCGGTAACAGGCAATAAAAGCTGATGACTAAACCAGGGGTTAGCCAATCACTACAGCTCATAGGCCAAATCTGGCCCACCATCTGTTTTTGTATGACGTGCATGGTAAGAATGGTTTACACAGATGAACATTTGCAACTGATTTGATAATAGAAAACACCTTTGAACCCCAGTTAAGTGAAATTGCGTCACCCTTCCAAAAGAAATAATTTTAAATTTTATCAATTTTAAAAATCGTAGAAATTTGTTTTCTCTCGTTACATAAGTACCTACTTATCCTCAATTTTGTTGTTTTTCTCAAAAGTCTGAAATATTTATTACTGGCCTTTTACGGAGAAAAAAAATAGTGACCCTTGTCTACACTTTTGCTGACAATGCCACAAACTTTCCTTCATAAAATATAAGCATTTTTACATAGCACAAGTAACAATCAAAAAAAAGTGCATGATAGTTTTAAAATCTAAATTACCTCAAATTAGTTAGGATAAGGGGTGTCTTAGAAGATACCCATGGAATTCAAATTCTAAAAGAAAACCAAAGAAAGCAACTTGAATTACTGTTGAGAAGTCTAGTGCTTTTCTTCCTTCCTTTCTTTCTTTCCTTCTTTCTTTCTTTTCTTTTTCTTTCTTTTTTCTTTTTCTTTCTTTCTTTCTCTCTCTGTTTCTAGCTTTCTTCCTCTTTCTTTTTTTCTTTTTTAGACAGAGTCTAGCTCTGTAGCTCAGGCTAAAGTGCAGTAGCGTGATCTTGGTTCACTGCAACCTCCACCTCCTTGGTTCAAGCAATTCTTGTGCTTCAGCCTCCCGAGTAGCTGGGATTACAGTTATGTGCCACCACATCCAGCTAATTTTGGTATTTTTAGTAGAGATGTGGTTTTGTCATGTTGCCCAGGCTGGTCTTGAACTCCTGGCCTCAAATGATCCTCCCACCTTGGCCTCCCAAAGTGCTGGGATTACAGCTACAAACTGCTGCACCTGGCCAGAAGTCCATTGCTTTTCTGATGCTCATTCTTGTGTTACAATCGCTTTTCCTAAATGGAAAGCTCATCTCTCTTTCCATGCTGTTCTAAAATTTCATGTTATTATACCTTGGTAAAGGTCCTTTTCAACCATTGTACTTTTGACCCAAGTGGGCTCTTTCAATTAGAAAAATTTTATTTAAAAAAAAAAGTTTTCTTTCTTCCATTTTCTTTTTATTTCCTTTTCAACTCCTATTGATCAGATGTTGGATCTTCCTAAAATAACTCAATAAGTCTCAATATTTTCTCTTCAAATGTCTATAAGTGTGTTTGGTTGATTTTTATTGTTATTGCCTTTTTTGCTTTGTTGTTTCTCTTTTTTTTTTTTTTGGAAATTTCTTTGACTTCATCCTGCAAATTTTCTGTGAGTTTTGTATTTCAGCAGTCATATTTGGTTTCTAAGATTTCTTATTATTCTTTTTTCATAGCTACTTATTATTGATTACATTAACTACAGATTACCCCCACTTCCTGTTTGCGTGTCTCCTTGTTTTTCACATGGGAAGCTTTTCTCAAATGTCTGGTGATCTTTGGATATCTATTCTCATAGACTGTAAAATAATAGTATTACTGAGGATGATATGACTTTGTACATAAGTGAGACTTATGGGGTTTCTCTGTAGAATCATTTGGCAAGGAACCAGTCATATTATTATGAGGATCTCCCCCCAGCTATTATATGCAGCAATCTTTTAATGGAGTTATTCAGCTTATTGAGAGAAGATTTCTTCAGCCTCCACTTTGAGGCATACTTCCTAGTGCTGAAAGTAATGTGTGGCTGTGTGCAGATACGAATGGAGGATGTCTCATCATTCAAAATCCTAGTTTTTACTCATTTTCCATTTTCAGCCTCAGCCTTCTCTGAATCCAAAGTCATACCTATTTAAATTCTGCAAAGTCATCTCCAGTCTCTTACCAGAGGAGGAGATGGAACATGTACTTACCTTGTTTCATGGGGATAGAAATGGAGACTTGACAATTTCACTGTTCAGTGTGCAGACTTTCAACCAGTCCTTGCAGTTTTCCTTCTGAGTCTTACCCCACCTTCTGAAATACCTGGTGCCTTCAAGTCATGAGCTTCTAAATGATTCCTCAGGGGATTAGGGGGATTAGGGTCTTGCTTCTTCAGTCTCTCACTCAGCTGTCAGTTTAGATTGTAGCTCCCTCATTTATTTTTCTAAATCAGTTATCACTTCTCTTTCCAATTTCTACCTTTTTTTCAATTTTTGTCCACCAATGTTTTCTCTTCCTCCGACTTTTTACCTTTTCCAAATTTCTTTGCCATCATTTAATTAGAATCATGAGAAAGAAAAATAAAATTGTGTGGTCAATCAGCCATCTTAACTGGAAGTCCTTAAACTGCTCTAGATATTGAAATGTAGATAAAAATCTTCTTTTTGTAGAATGGGATCTTAAAAGTATTCTAAATCTGCATAATTCTTTCTAACTTTCTTTTCCAGCTTGCAAAGAATTTTCACCATTATGCATTATCCAATACCAAATTTTGTAAGATACTTGAGAATTTTTAAGGTAAAGTGAGTGGTCCACAGTTATATAACTAATTAAGAATCATATTCATCCCACTGGTGGAGACTATTTAATTAGAAAAATACTTGGCCATTATCTAGGTCCTAAACCTTGAAGAACATAATTATGTAAAGTTTTTTGTCTTTTTTTTTTTTTTTTTTTTTTGAGACAGTCTCACTCTGTAGCCCAGGCTGGAGTGCAGTGGCACGATCTCGGCTCGCTACAAGCTCCATCTCCCGGGTTTGGGCCATTCTCCTGCCTCAGCCTCCCAAGCAGCTGGGACTACAGGTGCCCGCCACCATGTCAGGCTAATTTTTTTTTTTTGTACTTTTAGTAGAGACAGGGTTTCACCGTGTTAGACAGGATGATCTCAATCTCCTGACCTCGTGATCCACCCACCTCAGCCTCCCAAAGTGCTGGGATTACAGGCGTGAGCCACTGCGCCCAGCCTTGTCTTTTTTAAGAATTAAAAAATAAAAAATACTCAAGTGTCTTATTCTCTTGGTGTAAATATTTAAAAATTTATCTAAATTTTGTAAACGAATTGAATAATTTAACATCATTCTAATTGTTTACTGTAATGTCAAAAGCAAAGCCTATGGGACGAATATTAAATTGTGCTTCTATTGTCTGGGATAGTTCAGCTCTTGCACTATTAGGACAAAAAAAAAAAAAGAGCTCAGTAAAATAAGCTGCAAACCTCAGCAACCAGCTCTATTGTAGACTCTATCTTTAGTTTAAACTCCTCAGCAGTGGTTGTTGAAACTTACCCCTCCATCCTCTCAATTTCATTCCCATCTACTCACTCTCACCAAGTGACTAGCCTCTCTAAATTGCAAGAATAAGATTATATGGTAAATATGTCCTCAAATTCACTTTTCTATTTGTCAATATTCTCTGCATTCTAATCATTCTATACATTACCTTTCCTTTAAAGAATAACTTTATTCTTTCCTTGCTGGGATTAAACTTGGGCCCCTAATCCTTTTCTCTCTCTCACCTACTTCAGGATGTTTCTATATTATTTTTTTTTCTCATATATCTTTAATTTTTCCCATCTCCATTGACTCCTCTTCCATCTATACAAACATGACTAAGCCTTTCACATCTTATAAAAGAGCTTCCCGTGATCCTGCTAACTTCTTAAGCAATTTGTGTAGCTTTCTCCTTTTCTGCACACCAAACTTCTCAGAAGATCAGATGACACGACTTGCACATACTCACCACCCACTCATTGTTCAACCCCTTGCTTTCTGATTTCATCATGGGAGTCCTGTTGAGTGTAAAAAGGTAACTGATAATCCATTCTTCAATAGAGTTGACTTGTCACATGTTTTATTATCTTCTATCTCTTAAAATATTAAATGTGGTCATTTATTTATTTAAGTGTGTGTGTGTGTGGGTGGGTGTCTTACTGTGAACCGGGGCCCTTTTCTTGGTAGTAAAGACTAATAAACAAAACAAACTTAGATCCAATTCTTGTGAATCTTCCAATTAAGTAATTGAAACACATGGTACAAATGAACACTCTAAAAATATTTCATTTCAAATTGTAGTAAGTATAGTGAAAAAATGGATGTTACGGGATCTAATTTAGATTATAAAGTATATATCTAAAAGTCAAAGAGGCATTAGACAGGTAAAAAGCAGGGGACAGTTTCAGACAGAGTGAAGAGCAAATCAAAGTCCCTAAGGTAGAAAATAAAGAGTTCAAGATATTCAAGAAAGACAAAGATTACTGTGGCTGAAACCTGGTCAGACAGTAGAAAGCAGCAGGCAATTAGACTGGAGTAACAAGCACAGGCAAGATCACACGGGCCATGTTAAAAATTATGGATTTCTTCTTAACTGTGTGGATACCCATAGAAGGAATTAAGCTGAAGAGTAATATTCAATTTACATTTACATAAGTTCAACCTGGCTGCCGGGTGCTTAATAGGTTAGGGGTGGACAAGAGTGGAAACAGGAAGACCAGCTAATATGCTACTGCACATCATCTGAGTTAAAAATGAGAATGGCTTGGTTTGGAATGATGGCAGTGGCTATGGATAGAAGCAAACTGATTTATAATACACAGTTGACCCTTGAACAACGCAGGGGTTGGAAGCATCAAGCCCCACACAGTAAAAAAATTACGTGTAACTTTTGACCCCCGGTGAACTTAACTCTAATATCCTACTGTTGATGGAAAGCCATATTAATAACTTAAACAATATATATTTTTGTTATATGTATTACATAGTGTATTCTTTATAATAAAGTCAGCTGCAGAGAAGAAAATGTTATTAAGAAAATCATATAGAAGAGAAAATATATTTACTCTGTATTAAGTGGAAGTGGATCATCACAGAGGTCTTTAACCTCACTGTCTTCACACTGAGTAGGCTGAGGAGGAGGAGCAGCAGGAGAGGTTGGTTTTGCTGTCTCAGAGGTGGCAGAAGTAGAAGAAAACCTGCATATAAGTGTACCTGAGCAGTTCAAACCCATGTTGTTCAAGGGTCAAGTGTATTTTGGAAACAAAATCTACAAAACTTAATGATGTATTTGGAGGTAGGGGGAAGAGAGGGGACCACAGATGAGAAAGAGATCAGAAGAGTGAAGGAGAAGAATTAGAGAGAAAGATTGAAAGTTCTACTTTGTATATATCCTCCTCCTTGAAACCTTTTCTTACACATGACCTATCTTTCTGACCTTGCTTTCAGCCGTTTTACTTCATTGTCTTGCTCCAAATGCAAACATGTTTGAAGGTACTGCTTAGATATTCTCTACTGTCCCTCCCCAGTCCTCTTTCAGTTTCATCTGGTCCTAAACTCCGACTCTAATCCGATGACTCATTAGTTTTTCTCTCTTGATTCACCCAATTTTCTGGGCTATGACACATTTTCAATTGTTTTCTGATCGTTTCTCTTTAGATGACCCCTTTGTACCTCCAACTCAATTCAAAATTAAATTCATGTTTTTCCCATATCTACTATGGTTCTTGCTTATATTACCACTACCATCTTTCCGGTCACCTGGATTCATATTCATCACTAACTTCTGCTTCCTCCTTGCTCTTTGCTTCAGTTGCTATGGTTTTATCAGTGCACTCTATTGCATTTTATGTTTCTACCTTCCTTATATTTTCCTGAAGTGGAAGCCCTGATTGTAACTTAAGCCCCCATTATACTTTACCGGATTATTTTTATCACTTCTATCTTCCTACCTCCAATATCTTTCCTATTCTATGAACCAGCACATGACCTTTAGAGTAATCATCCTAAATAACAATTGTAATCATTTCACTTGTGTCTAAAATCTTCAATGATTCTATTATCTTCATTCTCTTATCTTCAGAGTAATTTTCAAATTTCTTAAAAGTGTATTAAATGCTTCTTATGATCTGACCCCAATCTATTGTCTACCTTGATTCCCAAATAACTTGAGCATCTCGTCATCCTGAAAATCTGTCTGATGCTCTCGCAGCACTGTCCCCTTGCTCATGCCACGTGTACTGCCTTCACCTTTTCATGCTGAAACCCTTCTTTCTTAAAAGCATAAAATGATGTCTCTCACTTCTCCACCTAGCAAGAAGTTCTTCTCCTGATGCTCCCCAGTAGCATATGAGTCTGCAATGGAAGGGACCTTTTTCATGTTTTATCCCCCACGGTGCTGAGCATACTATCTTGCATGTAACAGGAACAGAGCAGATATTAAATTGAATTGACATATTAGCACGCTTTCTGATGAGTTTGTAATGTGTGCAATAATCTTGATAAATGTGATTATATAATGAATTTGGCCTTAACGTCAGGTAATATGTGAAATGCATATTTTTTATGTGAGCTGTTTACAGAACAAAATCTCTACTCTACAATGAATAAGCCTTTATAGGCCTTAATTTAAAATAGTAATAAGTTAAAAATTCCTCAAATTTTTGAACTGAAGTTTATTGAGGTTTCCTCCTTTTTTACACCTTTGATTTCTTAGGGACCCTGGAAAGAACAGTCTTTATGAATATATTTAAATTCTGAGATATAATAAAAAAAATTACCTACCAGTTTCTCTATCAACCAAAACAAACACTAAGCTATTTAAACATTAGATTGATTTTTCTGAATTGAAAGCTTTGCCTTATCTAAAATTTTATGCAAGTTAGCAAAATGTGACTATCTGTAAATTTCAAATAAATTCTATCAAGTTAAAGTTTGCCTCCACTCTAACGACAGGATTAAGTCCAGTAATATGAATGCTAAATGGAGAAATGGAATGGTTAGAGTAGATATAGACTCTGTAACAAATTCCCTACTCAATTTCAACAAAAAACTTCTAGATAATTCCTTAAAAGTAAAAGGAAGAGAAGAGTTTGACCACTATAATTGTTTGCATTTACACTCTTCACTTAGCTAATTTACCTCTTTAAGAATTTTTTTCTAAACAAAAGTTTCTAGTCCATAATTCTCTAATAGCTGTTTTACCTTCTCTGTGAAAATTAGAGAAATGACAGACAACTGAGGATCAATAATACCTTAAGTTTATGTCAAAAACATGTTTAAAATAATAATTAAAACTATATATAAAGGTAATTTTATATTTGAACTTCCTCCAAATCATTTTTGACTCATATCTTTTTTATGAAGGTTATCTAGGATGATATCTCTTATCTGGGAATAAAGGTTTTGAAACATTGCTTTATCTTCAATAATAATTGCTACTAATTCAAGGGATCTGTATCTGCAGATTCAACCAACCTTGAATAAAAAATAGATGGTTGCATCTGTATTGAACATGTATGGACTTTTTTTCTTGTCATTATTCCCTAAACAGTATACTGTAACAACTATTTACATACTATTTGCATTGTATTAGGGATTATAAGTAACCTAGAAATGATTTAAAGAATAGGGGAAGAGGAGCGTAGGTTATGTGCAAATAAATACAAAGCTGTTTTATATAATGGACTTGAGCAGCAGGAATTTTGGTGTCTTTGGGGTCTTGGAACCAATCCCCAGCAGGTATCAGTTGTCTTACTTAAATGTCACAAGCACCCTACAAAGTAAGCATCATTAACCCCACCTTAGAGTTGAGAAAGTGATAATGAGGTTACATTACTGACCTGAGGTCCTATAAGCCGGAAGTCAGGGAATAGGAAGTCAACTCAGTCCTTTCTGAGGCCAGAGCCTAAGCACTGGATGGCCGGACAGCACAGTTCACTGGAGTCTGGATATCCTGAGGGCAAACAAATGTTGAAGAAACATCTAATGTCAATGGGTAAGAAATGTTACGGCCTATTACATGAATCTCTAGCTCTTCCTTTAACTTTTTTTTCTTTTGCATTCTTTTCCTTCAGTTGCTGGAAATCTTTTTGCTGCATTGTCTGTGATGATAGCTGGCTTCTTTGAAATGCACAGAAAACATTTCCCTCCAGTGGAGCAGACCCTTTCAGGAAAAGTTCTCACTGTTTCCTCCATGCCCTGTTTCTACCTGATTCTTCAGTATGTTTTACTTGGAGTGGCGGAAACACTGGTAAACCCAGCTCGTGAGTAAACACTTTTTCAACTACTGTTAGAATGCACTGAACCTTTACACAGAACACATCACCTCAACCAGAACAATTAAAGTGGTAGATCATCTATTCACCCCCTAGAGAGTTCCCACAACACTTCAAGCAAATTTATCTATTACTTTCATTTTCACAAACATTTCATTTCTCCTCATTCCTCTACCATGCACAGAATAATTATCAATTCTGCCTGGATGCAGATGGAACAAAAGATTTTTAACCTGGTTAAAGGCAATAACCATTTTGTCAGACACACCACAGGAGGAAAACCTCTGCTAAAAGCCAGAAGACAACTCCAGAACACTAAGATGAAAACTCTCTTCTCTTCTCCCTTCCCTCTTCTCACCTCCCCCATTCTCACTCATAGATAAACTCACAGGCCGGGCCCGGTGGCTCATACCTGTAATCCCAGCACTTTGGGAGGCCGAGGCAGGTGGATCACGAAGTCAAGAGATTGAGACCATCCTGGCCAGCATGGTGAAACCCCATCTCTACAAAGAATACAAAAAATTAGCCGGGCGTGGTGGCAGGCGCCTGTAGTCCCAGCTACTCGGGAGGCTGAGGCAGGAGAATCACTTGAACCCGGGAGGCGGAGGTTGCAATGAGCCGAGATTGCGCCACTGCACTCTAGCCTGGCGACAGAGTGAGACTCCGTCTCAAAAAAAAAAACAACTCACATATATACCCCTCCAAAAATGACACTTAATGTTCTTTGAGAGTATATAAACATGCAAATGAAATGAAAATTTAAGCCAATTTTCCAGATAACTTGATGTCTTTGAATTAAATTACACTAGATTAAATGAGATCACTAATGTTTCATAAGACAGGTTCAAAATAAGTTTATTAAATATCAAGGGTTTCTGAATTATCTAGATTGCTTATATTAATTAAACTAGCCACTTTACAATTTATCACAGTATTTCAGTGACTTCTTGCAATGCAGTAATGTGTGTGTACATATATTTATCAGTGTAATTGATTACATCTGTTTCTATCCTCCTTAAATTTTCGTGTAGTAGGAGTCCTGATGGTAACTCAAGCCCCCATTATCCTTTATGGATAATATTTTTATAACTTCTAACTATCTTCTGACTTCCAATATCTCTCCCATTCTATCAACCAGCACATGGATTTTAGAGTAATCATCCTAAATAACAATTCTAACCATTCCATCTGTGTCTACAATGTTCAATGATTCTACTATCTTCAAAGTTGTTTCCAAACTCCTTAAAGATAAATATTTAATAAATATGTATTTATACACATACATACTTACGATACCAAGGCAATTCATTAAACAATGAAAATAAAATTAAGTTGGAGTATATTCATATATATGTGTGTCTCAGACTTCTTTTTATAATTTTATATCATTTCATTCCATATATTTTGCATACATAAATTACTTTATGTGATTTTATACTGGGGACCTCACTGTTCAACATTGCAAGGAAGACAAAAGAAGTGTAAAGCAATGCTACTACACAAAAATTTGTGATGTTCTCTGATGTTATTCCCAAAATTGTGTTGGAAGTAGTCAGCCACAATTTTCTGGGCTGGATTAGAGTAAATAATGAGTAAAGGTAATTAGTGACTATGTGGAGGAAACTGTTAGCCAGCTTAGCAATAGTGGTTCAACCTACAGAAGCCAGAGAGGTACAGAAAAACCAATGACTGTGAAAAAGGCAGATCATGTACTATACATCACTTACTCCACCACTCCTTGATTTACTCTGCAGGAAATCAGGTCTAACTGAAGTCTAGGTCACTTGACTCATCTGCTGTTGGGGTCATGGGCCAGGGACTGAAAGAATCTGATCTGCTATCTAGCTTTTCCATTACTGCCTACATAAACTTGGGAACTCATTTAACCTCCAATCCTCATTTTTCTGATATTTAAAATAGAAATAATTTTATTCTTCTTTATATCACAGCATTGATAGGGTAAGAATCAATGGGAACGAGAGACTACTCCTTGAAAATCAGATGATGTAAAATATGAAAGGGTATTTCGAACTATAAAATCAAGTATTACCCTTCTGGGAGACAGTACAGCATAGAGGTTAGGCGCTATGGTCTTAAAGTCAGACAGACCTGAATTCAAACCCAGTTCTGTCACTGACTAACTCTGTTTGGGAAAATCATTCCTCATTTCTGGGCTTTTCTCATCATCTATAAAACAGGGAGTGGTTCAAAGGACTAAGTGGAAGATTTTATGTAAAGCAAAAACCATAGTGCCCCGTGTATAGACAGCATTCAATAATTAGCAGTTATAATGTGTTGTTATCATTACTAAAAGTAATGGCAAAAACCACAATTACTTTTTCACGGACCTAATATTATTATCATGTTTCACATGAATTAATAGTGTCAGACTTAGAACAGAAGTACAGGTGTCCTGTTCCCAGCTCTTTCTGCCATAAACTACCTGGCAGCGTAAGCAGAACTGTCTCTCACTTGAGTCATCCTAGATCCGTCTCTTTACTCTCACCTCTCCTCTCCAATCCAATAGCAAGTCCTCGTTTTTACTCTGAAATAGAACTTAAATCTGGCCACATCTCACTATCCCCTTTGTTCTCCTCCTGGCCTACAACACCATCATCTCCAGCCCCAATTTGACCAGAGCCTCTGAACTTTTCTCCCTGTTCCTCTCCTGCCCCGTGAGTCCATTCTCTTCAAAACAGCTGTGGTGTTCTTAAAACATAGGTTCTGTTGTTTCCCTGCTTGAAATTCCACAGTAGGGTTTTAGAGATAAATTATTCACAATGGTGAATAATGTTCCACACTATTTGGTCTCCGCGGGTTGTTCCATCTACATTTGGTTACATTCTGTCCCTTGACCACATCCCAGAAATGTGTGTGTTTCTAAGTTGCCAGATTTCTGTCTACCCCAAGGACTTTCTACTTTCTTTTTCCTTTATTGACAATTCCCTTTCCTCTGTTTTCGAATGACTGGCTTCTTCTCATTATTGAGCTTTCTCAAAGGTCATCTCTTTGGAGGGGCTTCTTTGACCATTCCATCACTTTCCATGTAATTACCCTGGTTTTTTTAAATAGCTCTTTTCATAATCTGAAGTTACTTTATTTATATTTGTATTGCCTGCCTCTCACTGTAAGAATATACACTCCTGATGTCAATGTATGTTTCTCCTTCCGAAAAAGTGCATATACAAAATAGGTGATCAATAAATACATTTTGTTTGAAGAAACAAATCAATGAAGTCTATGGCTATTTCTATATGGTACAATTAAAATACATTATTCAAAATTTTGACAATGTCCTACATTGATGGCATTGAGCAAGGAAACACAGTGAATTACTCCATAAATGACAGTAGACATAGTCTGCCCTACTAAGACATGTTATACATTGGAGATGAGCTAGAAAAAAAAAAGCAGTAGAAAACATTTCAAATTATGTTTTAATTGTAGTAGTGCACACCTCATCTGTCTCATACCCTGTGTTTGTTTATTCAAAAAATACCGTGTAGGTGTCTACAATGTGCCTAATACTGCTCTCGAAGCTTTAGACACATCAGTTAAAAAAAAAAAGACAAAAATTTCTGCCATTGTAGAGCTTACAGCATTTCTGTGGTCGAGTAGTAGAGAGTAAGTTGGGAAGAATAGAAGGCTCTAATCAGAGAAGAGTGCACAAAATTGTGATTATGGAGTAGGTACAGTTATTGATCCAAGACATGGCTTTGCAGGCCAGTCTCTGTTACAGTTACTCAACTGTGTCATTGTGGTACAAAAGCAGCCATAGACAACATATAATAAATGAGTGTGGCTGTGTTCCAATAAAACTTTATTAAAATAGGTGACAAGCTGAATATTACCTGACCATAGTTGGCCAACCACTGGCTGAGGTCATGACCTTGGGTATGAGTGGAGTGGAAGTTAAGGTAGATTGGAGATCAAGGACATTGGAGGTCAAGGAACTGGACAACCAAGATTGAAAGGATGGAAGGTGGGAAGGATGATCTATATGTATAGTAAAATTGCCAAGCATTAAGGCAGGAGTAGTACCAGAGAGTATGACAATGAGAGAGAGTAGTACCAGAGAGTATTCAACTTTGAGAAAAAGAGGAAAATGTCCTATAGATTGGCAGATGACAGCATGAAAGAAAAGTAGATGATATAATCTGATAATATAAGGTTCAAAGCTGAAGTATTTTTAGAGTTAAGGGAGATATAACGGCCTAAAAATGGCAACAGGATAAAGTTCCGTTTTCTGGGACTATGGTACTTCTTCTCCACATGTTCAAAATAACTTTTCACCAAACAAAATAAACACGTTTCAACTGCTTAAGAACAACTAGAGTAAAATAAATTTCCAGCAATAAGTCCCCAGCACCAGGTGCCATTAGGAAAGTGGTTATGGCCCTACATTTTGAAGATTCTGCATATGCTGTGATGTGGCATCTTTGCAAGCACTAACCGGCTACTACCTAGAGGCACATTTTTAGCACTCGTTGGCAAGAAGACCAGCTTTCACATACACATTGAATATTTTTTATTGTGTTTTCATAGTAAAATGAGAACTTTAGTGACAGACTTGTTGATATTATCTACATTGTAATGGGCTAAAAGGAGTATCTCGGAGCCTAAAAAAGAAATCAAATTGATGATCACTAAAGTTTCAAAAGATCAGAACATGCAAGTAGATGCCTAAAAATGAAGATTCGAGGACTTGAAAAGCTAAGTCCTATAAAAGGGAACTGGAGGCTTTCAAAAACAACTAAAATGACACCAAAGAGAGATTAACCAGCAGGCAGAGAGCTGGCAAAGTGTGTTCATGAATTATATACCATACCAGAAGTTCTAGCAAGAGAAAAGCATAGGATTAATAATTAACTAGCAAGGTAATAATGGGCTTGTATGTTCTGCTTTTTCTTAGTGAAAGAAATAGGCCTATTTACTCTTTCTGCTCATTACTTGTCTCCTTGTACTTATGGAAAGGAAAGTTTACAAGCCAAAACCTTTTTATAACTGTGAATCATTTATTCCCAAAGCCTATTCAGACTTCCTCTTGTACTCCTATTTGGACCTTTCTGAAAATACTCCAAAGCTCCTGCTGGTGATTGGTACTACACAAAGAGCTGTGTTACCTTGCCACCAATATTTGAAGCCCTTCTCCACAGTATTTTACCTATCACCATTATTATCTTCATCTCCAATCAGCATCTGTGGGAAAAGTGCACATTTAGCACTGCCCTTTGTATTAAATCATGTGCT